GAAAACCGGGTCTTAAAGGGCCCTCCGCCCAAATCCTTTTAGCCTTTTTGCCTACTCGAGGTCCTCTATCGAATGATGTATGAACGAACGAAATCGGAGCCGGACACCTGGGGCGGTTCCCTCGTAAGCGTTGTTTTCTCATAAAATAAAAAGGAATGACTATTTTGACAGTTTCTTTATGCAAAAAAAGCTTTCTACTGAAAAACATCCCACCACCCTCACCAAAACAATCGAAAACACTAGTCCTTACAATACAGTGTACTTGTACCGATCAGTAATATGCACTCTCTGAATATCAAGGCTGGTGATTATTAATCCTTAATATACTGAGATTGTGACGGCTCTGAAAATGCGCTGCGTTACCACAATGGGTAGAATTCGATAGAATCATAACAGCCACTCAAACCTTGAATTTCTACCAGCGGCGTATCCAAGGGGAGGCAAATGGGCAATTGCGCATTTCCTTTGGAGATTTACCCATTGAAATTTTACTTGGGAGATATACGCATGAAGTTTTTTTCGTATAATGTTTAGTAAAATATGTGTAAGAGTATGGATAGACAGAATTATTTGTTTATTTTTGAATTAGATAGTAAATGTATTTGAGTTTGTAGATAGTAAAAATTTGAGTTTTATGCATATCTTTGATTAAAAAAACCTCATTTCATTTTTTTTGTGTTCTTTTTGGATCACAAATGTTTTGGCCCACCAACAAAAACCTTGCCCATTTTGCCCGTCGTTTTTTTCCGACACAATAGAAGTTTGCCCATTGGTCTAGAAATCCTGATTACGCCGCTGATTGCTACGTACCAAATACGTTGTTCTCAAAGACGACAGTCAATAGCATGAACATTATTCAGAGTACGTTGTTTAGAGCTTTCTTAGCGGCATCTTAGTAGCTTCCTACTTTAAAAAGTATACAGTTGGGACAGATCTGAACCGGGACCGCAGTTTCTTCAAACAGTTAAGGATCAACTAAGACTGCCTGAGAAGAAAAGTTTTTATCTAGTATTTATCTCACTCAGTCAGAGTTATTATTTTCAGTTCCGAATTATTATTAATCAGTCAGAGTTATCAGTCTTAACAAATTTATTTGTTAAGACTGATTAAAACAGGCTGTACACACTCTAAAAAAAATATGTCTTAAAATAAGATCCCATAAGTCGATTGACGATTAGACACGTGCTTAGGTCTCAATATAAATCTTATGATCAGTCTTATCGTTATCCGTCTTTGAGACCTATGTATAGATCTAATTGTCAACTGAATTATGGGGTCTTATTTTAAGATCGATAAATTTATCTGTCTTATTTTTCATAGTAGTTCGAATGTTAAGTTAACCTCATCACAGTGAGTCAGTAATTTCAATGTAGCTGTTGTTAATATTTAATAAGAGAAACAGGATAACTTTCTAAGTGTATGTCATTAAATCATCTGTTCTCTATATATAAGTAGTCATTGAGAAACAAAAGAAGTAAGTGATTTCTCGTACTTCAGACGACAAAAATAAGATCTTTTTCTTGGGTCTTAGAAATAAAACGGACAGGTTATTTGCCTTGAAATAAGACGATAAGAAAAAAAGTTAGACCAATACAGGAGTAAGGCGGATTTTTCTTTAAAGTGCACATTAGCGTTGTTGACTGGAAGAGAATAATTAACCGTAATGAAAATTTAAGTATACAGTACTGACTATATGAGTTGGACCAGATCGATATTTCAAGGTTATCAATCAAACGTAACAAGATCTGCGAATCAACAAAATATGACTTATTAACTTGAGATTTTCGAGGTGCGATTAGCCATTTTCTGTAATCAAATAGAAATCACATACATCTGGTTTTTTCAAGTAGATATAAAACTTATGACACACATTTATTAATTTGAATACTTTTGAGAGCACCGAATTTTATGTCAACACTACAAGCAGGTGCCCTTAATTTGCCGATGAATATCAGTGACTGAATCATTTATAAATCCAAAATTGTTATCAAAATAGAAAGGCAAATCTACTAAATTTTTCTAGCAAATTTGGACTATCGTTTCCATTGTGTTTAAAGTTAAAAGTATAAAATTTGCTTTTGCATATTAGCAATAGAAAGAAATTCAAAAAAATTTTTTTTTTTAAAGCATTTTTTAGGTTAGGATCTAGAGCCATTCAAAACTTTTCGTCCTATCTGAGAAAAATGTACTCTATTAAGAAACAGTAACGTCAGTATCGCTACCGAGAAATTACACTTTACATTAATTGATTCAACGACTTATAGAAAAATGTTTATAACTCTCTACGGATCAGTCACACGCAGCTTCAAGTCTTATTCTGAGAGAAGTTTGCTCTAAACATTTTGATATTTTTTAAAAAATGAACATGTATTTGGTTCACAACAGTACCCTCTTTCGAAATTCTGTGTCTTAGAGCTTCTAGGAAACTTTTCAAAAGTGTCTGTGCGATTGAAAGTGACACAAACTCATGGTGACTATATAGATTCTCGTTAAAAAATGACATTTCTTTAAGAGGGGTGAGGATGGTCTCATCATCGCTTTGATAAACATTTGCCTGGAATAACAAATGTACAAAGTACTTTTCTTGAAAAGCTTTTGTCAATTAAAAAAGCATATTTTTATCTGACGTCAAAGAAAAAGAATAAGGACGTTGTTGTGCCTTATCACATCTGGTGTAACGATATCAAATAGAAATGGGACATGTGTGTTTAGCAAAAATGAAAAAAGAAGAAAAAGGGGGCAAAAATCAAAACACAACTTGAAATTCTATTTATCTGGAATAGAAAAGTACACATACGTTTCTTCACCTTTCTCATAAAATACAAGTACTATTATTTATCAGATGTCTGATATTTTAGTAATAGTTTTCTAATTGGAATAAATCAACAACACAAGATTCTTTCAACTGTTACCTGTATGATAGCAACAGCAGCAATCGTATTCTTCTTTTCAGGTATGATTAATCATACAGTTATTCTGCGGGGTACGTTATCACTTTTGCGGTCAGGATAACTGTATAACTGCATTAATGGAACGATAACGCGTTAAACAATACCAGAAAATTCTGACATATTTAGAAGAATGGTCTAATCAATAACTCAAAACATTCTTATGAAAGAGTACTACATTTCAAGTGACGCTCTTCAAACGGTGAGCTTGAACGTAGTTTGAAAATGATTTAAGTATACCGTTTTCTTAAATACGTCAAAGTGTTCTGGCATCCTTAAACTTAATATCCACTATTAAGATACCTTATGCATGGTTTCTTTAGATACTGTTGTAGACCCAAAAAAGAGTGAAAACACTCAAATCCAATATATAGTTCGTTTTAAACTTCGTTAAGTTTCAAAAAAAATTTTTCGGTGAAAGATTCAGAATGTGTGCTTGATTTAAGCTTAAATCTTCCAGAGTACAAACGAATATAAACCCAATATAGTATTCCATAACTTAAACTATCGAAAACCATAAAATCAGTTTATGCTAATATGGGCTCGAACTTAGGTTTGATGTAAATTGAGCTTAGAATTATCTCATTACTGTAAATTTTAGCAGCATTTAAAAAATTAACAGTACTGTTTCAGAAAATTGCACTTTTTTTATTGAGATCCTCTAACCCAATAAGGTTACAGCCAAATAAAAGATTCGTATATCATTCGATAAATAAAAAAACAAGAATATAAACACATACGTCATTTTTAATTTGTCCAGCAGTAAAGTTTACACACTAATTTAGTGCTTCTGTATGAGTCGGTAGATTCGAAAAGTCAAAGATGAAAAATAGAGTCAATCAAAACATGAAAATTAACTCGATAATGATTAGAAGACCTTATTGTGTAGGAGAAATCATTGTGTCTACAATACGATAAGATCCCTATTTCAATCCAATGTTAACAAAAATATTCTGTTTTATTGACATTGTATTTTACTTGGAAGAAAAAACTAATCATACCATGTAGCGTATATTTTCGTTTTATGAATAAATTTTGTTTTAGCTCGTAAAATGTTGAGACCTGATCATGCGTCTTTAGTAAAATTTTTTTATTCTGTCAGTTAGATATTCAGGCACAGTATGATTCATTAAAATATATTTAGTAATTCTGCTTAGATATGGAATTTACTTCGTACAAATTCTGATTCTTAATATAATCTTTTCAATTTCAATTGAAGAAGATATGAGTAAACTGTCGTGGGAGTGACTACGTACTATTGAAACAATGAATGGTAAAAATAGACACTTTAACAAAATTATTATCGTATTTTTTTAATTTAGTCTATATGGTTGACTAGTTCTTCTCAATTAGCGACAATTAGATATGGCTGTTAATGCTGGAAGTCGCAATAACAAAAACAATCGTGGTGATTTAACGAGTCAATCATTCATTGAACACGTTAGTGAAGCTACTGGCGAAGACGAAGACAAAGAATGGCAAAGTGGAGATATTAATCAAATATTTAATACTTGTGATTTAGATGGATGTGGTTATTTAGATAAAGATAAGCTACAGTGTATTTGTCCACATTTAAATTCGGATGAAATTGATGCCATATTTAATGATTTAGACACGAATAAAGATAATAAAATTAGTCTGTCAGAATTCTCTTCTGGTTTCAAATCACTTTTAAGCGAATTTGTCAATAATGAACCTCCAGTAGAAATGTCACATTTGAATTATAAACAATCGCCATCATCTCCATCTATGATAAACGACTATTCAGAAAATTTATTTTCCAGTGATAAACACGATGCACATTCACAAATCAACGAAGTGTTTGGCAATTTAACTTGGTACGTGTTACTTCATCTAATTAGCAACATTTTGAGAATAAAAGTTCTTTTCAAGGAGAAAGGTAAAAATTTTCCTTTGTAAACAAGCTTTTTTCTATCAGAAACACAACGGATGGTCGAGAGGATATTGCCCGGTTTTATGATGAGTTTTTTCCCAAGTTAAAGCTTCTCAAAGAATTACGTTGTTGTACCAAAAGATAAGACATTTTGTGTAGATATTATCCTTGTATTCTTTTCAAAATAAGTATTTATCCATTTTTTGAAGCAATAGAAGTACTAGAAGCCCTAAAAAGTTAAATTACTCAGTGTATGGTTAAATTGAAATATAACTTTTAGTTGTCCGGTAGTTTCGTTGCGCGATTCAAATACGGCGCTAAAAAGTAGGTTAAATTTCAAATTTTTCTATGGCAAAACGAAATTTTCAAACAGTATGTTCTGATAATGAAAATCACCTAAAATATACCCCTTTTACTAGCTATTCTTACGTTACATCATCCACGAAAGCATTTTAATTTCAGCAATTATGATCAAAATGACTTAGTCTCCGACAAGAACAGTATTTTCTAGAGTGTAAATTGTGCATCTTTTAGTATACAAAAAAATAATTTGTCCTAGTCATACTTTTGAGAAGCGCTTCAACAAAAGTGCCATTACATTGATCAGGGGTATCTCCTCTCATACTTCGACTTTTATAAACAAATGCAAACAAGTATGTGAAAATAAATACACTACTAGATACACGGAAAATTTTTCTATTTTTTATCACTAAAGCCATTTTCGAACTAAACTGTAACTCGACCGTACACGAATATCATAATTAAAACTTTAACAGCGTTTTTTATGTTTAAGAAAACAAGGTTATAAAGTTAAATGATATTCTTTCGTTTTTCATTAAATTCTTAATCTCAAATATCATTCAGGTATTACACAAATCCCCATATGGATCAAAAATATGCAAAAAGTCATTTAAAGAACATTGTTTCTACTATCACATACCCGTTTTTGTTCAAAACAGACTTCATTAGTATAGACCTTCCATAGTTAGATAACAAAAAAGTCTTGAAAAACTCATTTGTGAAATATTATCTAGATATCCCTCAGATTTATATGTTTTTGATCTAAAAATAATTAAATTAATTGCATAAAACGTGCTATCCTTACATATCCTTTTCTTTGCGGCACATTGTAACGAGACTCTTTTCTTCTTTATTCTGTCATTTGTTATTATTGATCGAGGTAGAGTATGTATCGTTGCTAACAGGCAAGGTGTTGTAGTCAAACACCAATAAAGTGGAAGACCATCACTTATGTAGGAAAAAAATGTAAATGACTCAATGAATGCCCACTACGAATAAAAATTCATCAAGTCACAGTAAACTTTCTTTTTCTTTTCTTTCTTCGTTTCGTTGTGTTGTACATGTCATAATTTACCTGTGAAAAGAGACTCTTTTGACAATAATATATGATGATAATCACTATAGTATATATGATATATTTACATTTAGTTTATATAATCTGTTTGTCCACAAGATGAAGTGATAGACTAGTTTTCTTTTCCTAGTTTCTATTTTGGACGGTCAATTCTTTCTCTTGTATACATTTTAGTAGAATACATGTATATATCTTTTGAAAAATTAACATTCGATTTGTCAAATATATTTTAATACAGTAATCAAAAGTACAAATAAGTAGAAAAGAAGAAAACAGTTTATTTTTTTTTCACACATTTCTTGTATTACGTGTAAAAGACAGTAATTGAAGTGATAATAACTGTAACTATTGTGGTACAATTATCGATCGATGACATGGATGGAATTGAAACGGCCATATTTTCAAAGTAAGTACAATACATTTTAGTATGTACGCATTTGACGTTAGTAGAAGACGAATCGTGCATGTGTAATTTATGATTAACAGGGAAAGAGAAAAAGTATTTTGTCTGACTAAAAAGCATAATCGTCGCGTCGACAGATGTTCATCTATATTTTGGGCTATAATTTATTTACGATATTCTCATTGATATCGTTGACTTTTAGAATCGTAAAAATTCGTGAAGAATAATCAATGATAAAACTACTTTATAATGTCACTAGAAGAAGTAAAATGAAAAATTTTGTTAAGATTTTTTCCTCGAATAGTATTTTCTCAGAAGGTATACTTATAACAAATCTCATATTTTATGTATTTATTCGCGATTTTGTACTGTAAGCCTTGGAGTTGATTTTCTTATCATCAGTTATTCTTGTCATTAAATGCAAGAAGAAGACACCTTGATATTTCCTGTAGTTCCTCAGTAAGTTCAGTTGAAAACATAGTTAAGAATCTGTCTTTGTCTTTATATTTGTTATAAGACTATCTCCATAATGAAAATAGGTAAGCATTCTATTTCTAATTATTTATAACACCTTTAGTTTGATGTTTATAACGGAAGAATATTCATTCTTTTTTCCTTGAGCTTATTAACAAATTTGATGATTACAAAATTGTTAAAATTACACACATATAGAGTCAACTGGCATAACATAGGCATACTCACACAGTCATTTATTTATAAATACACTCACAAAATGCAATCAAGTGAAATAAATAACTTTTACTCACACATAATATGTTTAGTGATTATGGTGTCCAAAATAACGCAAATATTATTCTATAAGTTTCTTTTTGATAAAAATAAGAAGAAAAAAAAAATGGTATCGAAGAAAATCTGTGCAAAAGACCCATTGTAAAGAGTATGACAGAAGAAAAAAAATAAAATTCTATTGTGAAGAGTATGTATTCTGTAACGTTTTTATCTGATATAGATTCACTGTGAGAAAAAGGGAGAATTCAATTTTTGTACCTCTTGAAAGTTTAACAATATAAATGGATGTAGATGATACCGTCAGGAGGTTCAATTAATGCTTATCTAAGGCAACGTCAGTTGTCAATACAAACAATTGATTTTGATTCGTAAGTTACTTCTTCCACGTTCTAAAGGATAGATAACAGTTTGTCTGTAATGTAAGTGTTTTTCGAAACAGATGGTCATTATTGATTTTATCTCAGTCTATTTTTTTTGTTCTATTACTAAGAGTGGTAAACTAAAGAAATTATTATGGTAATTTCTTCCGGTTTCAGCTCTTCTTTGGAAAATTCGAGTAAAAATAAAGTATACTAGATTTGAGCTGTTGATGTAGTAAGTGTTTAATATTCAGTTTATAAAGAAATTACATTTAATAAATTGAACGTTATGTAAGAGAATGATAGCATAATATTTCAAGATCTCAAAGTTCGACTCCATAAAAATTTGCAGTGGGAGATTCGAGTTAGAATGAAAAAAATTAAATTATGAACAATACCAAGATAGGTAGTTTGAGTTATATAATTTTTCTATTTTAGCCAAGAACAAGTATACGAATTTTATGAAACACTTCGAAATGGCAATTCTACTGAATCTGTTGAACAATTTCAAAATATTCTTGAAGTATTTGTACGTGACATATTAAAATATCGAAAAGAAATTAAACGGCTTGAAGATGCATATAAACGGTAAGAACAAAATCTTTTCAACTCCACTTGCTAAAGATTCACGTACAATTTAGTGATAAAGAGAGCAATGATAAATATTTGAAACGTTTTGAAGAAGATTATGAACGAGAAATGCGTCTATTGGAAGAAAAAACCAGAAAGGAGGTAAAAACTTAAGCGACTTTTCTCATTACAACAAACCTGATATAGTAAACTTCTCTATTCTATGTAGCTGTGGAACTTTCTAAAGTGCGTACAATAGTGAGGCAGTTACTTTAGAGAAATTCTCTATTTTTTTCTACTATTTTTGTTGGACACAAAGATCCACATAGACCTGATTAGAAAATATTTAAGAGCAGCTGAATCGAATTGAGTCAAGCCGAAAAGTATTTCATTGTGCAGAGCGAAGAATTTTTGGTACCTTAACAGAAGAAGCTGTCTAATCCAGTTAGTAGCACTTTATGAAGCATTATTACACTGTGAAAAACGAGGTAAAAAATACACTTTAGATGCCTCAATCGCAATCTCATTTTTGATCAGTAAGAAAGTATTTCCATGTAAAAGACGCGTCATGATGCCCTTCGAAGGCGGCTGAATTCTAGTTGTATGCACTCACGGTGCATCGGATAACATTGTGGCTGCTTAGCCAATGTATTTTGGATGTACCCTAAAAATTTCACAACCTAATCCTAACCTAAACATTGAAAAAAAAAAATAGAACAACTTATAATCTAACCTAGCCTATAACTTTTGCAACCTAATCCTAACCTAACCTATAGGTTAGGTTAGGATCAACCTGCAGGGCTCTGGTCGGGATGTCCTATAAAAGCGGGCTATGACTAAAAACATACAAAAAAGGGATTAATAGTTCTATCTGAAATGAACAAAGAGGGTAAAAAGAATGTTAGTTTCTCTTCTTCGATATGAAAAGGAGTCAATTGTTTGTTAGTTATGGAGCTTTTAACTTCTAGATATATCTCGGTATATGTGCGAATGGACAAACTATCGTTTTCGGTTCTATATAAATTTGATTTATTTATGTATTTGATCTGAACGAATTTAACTTAACTAAACAAACAGCAACAGATTAGGAATAAGATATATACTAAGCTGAGTAGAATAAGCTAAGAGAAAATATTTAGACAGACGATGCGAAATTTCTACTGGAGTAGAGATAAAAAAACGAAGCAGACTTTCTTCTATAGTAAGAGATAGATGTTGCTAAAAATCATCAAATTTTGAAAACACAGAAGTAATCATCTGTGAATAATAAAACTTGCAGAACATAGATAACCTATCATGGAGAACTGATAAGAAATAGTTTTAGACCCCCAAGAACCCATGGTTCCCAGAAAATACTTTAGATTTATGTTTGATTAGGAGCTGTTTACATCAAACCGGCGTTTATGCCAATATAAGTTAGGGGATCGATCGAAACACATGAGCGTTACCTTGTAGGTTTGTAGCAAACAAATCTGGTTTATTCTGTTGACTAAAAATTGCCATTACCGTCTATTCAAGAGTATGATAGTCACTATAGCATGGCAGGGCAGAAGAAACAATGTTGATAGGGTACTTTTTCTCTCTATTTCTTTTGCTAGAGATATCATGGCTAGGCACTAGGATGACTCGATGTCTAGCAAAGAACCTCTACACATTTCGATGTATTAAATGTGACTACATGATTTGTCTGTGCCTGTATTATGGGTGATTAAGGGTCTTGACTGTAATTAGCGCATTGTGCGATTTTGAGGTATTAGCGATGTCTATTAAATGCTAATAAATAATACCTAATACCTAGAAATAATACCTAATCTGTTTTTTTCAAAAAAAGCCGCTACCTAAAGGTGTTTTACAGTAAAAAGATAAGAAAATGCACCTAACGTCCCTTCAAAACGCACTGTGGACGCATTTTGAAGCCAGTCCAGAATGATATGTATCCCTGGTCGGACACATATTTCACACAACAAGACCATTCTTCTATTCTTTAATCTTAGTTTCTAACACTAAACGCTTTTTCTTGTTGAATCTTTTCAAAACAATCATACTCAAGGTCAATCATACACCAAAACTTCGCCCTACTGTAGTGGATTTTCATAAATGATTTTTCAACATTATCTTCTGTCTTCCGATATGAAAAAGAAAATTTTCCTCGTACACGTGCTGAATGGGAACATCATTCCGAAAAAATCGTTAGTTTAAGTGATCTTATTAAAGAGATTTTTTACCGGTTCGAAACTATGTTCACTGTACAGAGTTGTGAGGTATCTACTCTGTACAAATTCACTTACAGAAAAAAGTGCTCGGGTAAACCTATATGTGCCCACATAGGGAGATTTTACTACCTTTCTTTACTAACTAGGAAAAAGAAAAATTTGATCAAGAACGTGAACATCTAAAACAAAAATCAAACACAGAAATTTCGGATCTTAAGGCGAATTTACAACGAATGCAAATGGTATGTAGAAATTCTTTTAATAATTGCACTTATATAACAGAAAATTTTTTTAGATTGAGCAACGATATGCAGAATTGAAAAATGGCGAAGATTCAGCAGTGGTATTATTACGAAATGACATATTAAAATTAACTCAAGAGAATCAAACATTGAATAGTTCATTAAATGAATCTCTTACATCAATTGCCGTACTTCAAAGTGAATTATCAGCAATGAAGGGACATTTGAATGATAGACAAAATCAACTATTACAGTAATCAGAGTCAAATTATCAGTATTGTTTGGTTATTGATCTACGATTTGTTATTCTAGTGAAAAACAATCATCTTCAAGTAATTATCGAGATAAAGAATCATTGAAAGCAAACGTACAATTGCTAGTGTGAGTTATTTGAATAAGTTGACATGACATGATGTTTGAGTTGACCACCAATAGTTGTAATTAAAATTCATTTTTTGTAGCGAAGTGAATAAAAAACTCCGCGATGATAATGACAATTTACGAGCATCATTAGAAGGTGTAAAAGTGAATTCATCCCGCACACCATCAGAAGTTCGTAACTTCAGTTTTAACTCTGTTATGAGAATAATATTTGGATACTGTTTTTTCTATAGAATGTATCACCTTCCAGAAGAAATCGTATGACGCGAACTGGATCTATTTTAGAAGCATACTGGAACAATAATTCAACAAATAACGGATCGTAAGTGTGACTTTATTTGTGATTATTGATCAGTTTTTGTACTCTTGTAATTACTTTAGATCAACTCCACAACTTATGACAAATCAAGCACATGTGATGCCATTACACGAAAAAAAATTGAATTCCTTTGATGTTGATTCCGATGATTTAGGTAGAAATCAACTTCTCAATAGTCCTATTAGTACTATGAATGGTATTAAAAGTAACACGAATATAGCATTATATTGTTGAGTGCATAGGGGATGGGAAATTACTAATTATTCGGGTTTCTTTTGTATCTTCTAATAATTCATTAAATTTCTTTGCTTACTATACAGATGGGTATTGCGCAGTCATTTATTTTTGTTAATTAAAAATATGTATGATCATTATCCAATTTAGATAGTGGCTTATCGCTTACAACGCTGCGAGACATAACAGAAGTTGAATCAGATCGAGAACAACAACCCAGTCTACCATCAGTACCAGCAACAAAAACATTAATAAACTCTAAAAATAATCGTTCATTCCAAAAAAGAGATAATGCAACTGATTCGGATGAAGTTTTTGATGAAGTGAGTAAGCCATGTGGGTTATGTTCTTAGAATATTTCTGATTTTTTTTGTCTTTAAAGGAGCGTAATAATCCAAAGAAATGGCCACAACGCTCAATAAAATCAAAAAGCTCAATAAATAGATCAGTAAAAACAACTGGTACGGCAACATTTACACCACCATCACCTCTGTTAACTTCAACACCACAGTTAAAATCTGAGCAACAAACACAAAATCTTCCATTTGATCGAATGTATAAAGTTGTGTTTTGTGGTGATGCTGCCGTTGGTAAAAGTACATTGATCATGCGGTTATGTAAAGGAAAATTTGTGTCAAGTATTAATTCAACTTTGGGTGTCGATTTTCAAAATAAGCAACTTGAAATTGATGGAAAGCGTGTGGCTATTCAGTTGTGGGATACAGGCAAGTGGTCCATTCTACTCTCAGATTTCGTTTATAACATTCTATTATATATTGTTTTTCAGCTGGTCAAGAAAGGTAAGAAATCTTTGTGAATATCTTCACAATGGTTATATTTTTCCCTGTTGTTAGATTTCGAAGTATAGCTAAGTCGTATTTTCGTCGATGTGATGGTGTATTGTTAGTATACGACTGCACCTATGAACGATCGTTTCTGAATGTTCGAGAATGGATCGATACAGTAACTGTAAGCTGTCATACATTATAAATCATGCACAAGAATAAATATGATTTCTTCTTAGGAAGCCACAACAAAAAAAGTTCCTGTTATGATTGTTGCAAATAAAATTGATTTAAGAGATCAAATGAGAAGTGAAGGTCGCCGAGTAATCGAACATGATGATGGCATGAAACTGGCCAAGGTTTGAATTTCTTGAAATATTATTTACAATTATTTGAATATATTATACTTTCAGGACTATGGTGCTTTGTTCATTGAAACATCTGCTAAAGATGGTACAAATTCAAATGAAACTCTTATCGAATTAGCTAGGTAAAAATAATAATTTATCATACAGTAGAACATTGTATAATTTTTTTTTCTCTTTTTACAGAGATATGCGCTGTAACGAAGATCTCGAAGTTGTTTCATCTGGCATGCAACTTGATCAACAAGCTAAAAAATCAGGTTGTTGTTCACGATTTTAACCGTTTTAAATCATTAGTCAAAACAACACGTACGAACAGTTTTATTTTTATTGTGTTTTCTCCCTTCTTGGAATTTATTTTGGATGATATTTGTGTGTGTATTCGAATTTAAAGAAATACCGGTTATAATTTTTTTTAATCTATACAGTGTTTCATTAAATGGCTTTTTCCAGTTTTTCGGCCATAAAAGTAAATGTGCATGATTTTACCTAATTGTCTATTATTTTATTCCAACATATCATATCGTTGTTCTGTCTTCTGTATATATTTCTGTTATTTTTCTTCTCAGTTTTAAAAATAGTTTATTTTCTTGTTCATTTGTTGCCCATGATCTTATAAAGAGGACTGGTAAAAAAAAAAGGGTAAAAGAAATAAGTGATATTGGCTCGTTTATCAACTTGTACAAAATGGAAATAATTTAACATGAACAATGTTTACATGTGTTTCTCATGATGAGAATCTTATCTCGCATTAGTATCAACTATCTTTCCTTTCTTCGAAATTCCACCTATATTTGATTGCATTAGAACAACAAATTCATCATAGTTTATTCGTCCATCCCCATCCAAATCTGCTTCAGAAATCATATCGGCTGCGTCTTCCTCTGTCGGCCGATCACCAAATGCAATAAGGGTGGTGCGTAATTCTTCTAGTGTAATGAATCCGTTTTGATCGATATCTAATCAGAAATAAAACAACATATTTAAATTCAAAAACATTGTTCGTCAGTCAAAATTAACTCAAAATATAGATTGATTATAGAGGTGATTAACTTTAACATAATAATAATTCCTGAAAGTTTTTATTTCAGATATTCCAGATGTAATTTTTACAAACATAATACTATCACTTACCAAAAACTTGAAATGCTCGAAATAATTCTTCGCGAGAGGATTTATTCTTATCAACTGCATTTTTCACCATAGCTAAAATATGTTCTGATAAACATCTTAGAAAATTGTTTATTATTACACTCACAGACAAACTCATCAAATGACACTGAGCCAGATTGATCTTCATCAACTTCTCTTATCATATCTTCAAAAATAACGTTTATCATTTCATTTTATATAATCAAAATGACTATAGCATACCTAATAGATCTTCTTCAGTGCTAACAATTCCCATACTAAAAATTTATCATTATTTAAGAGTAAAAAAATAGAATTTATTTTAAAAAAATGTCGTTTTTACCTGTCCAAAACGACACGTAATTCTAAAAAAACGGAAAAAGTATTTTCTGCTTTTCTTGATCAATTTTCTATGAAAGAAAATACCTGTTAAACTTATAGCTCCATCACCATCTCGGTCAAAAATTCTCTGAAATAATCAATAAGTCATCTTAGGAAATGTACAATTTATCACATTAGGAAAACTGAATAAAGATTTATTTACGTGCGAATACCTGTTTCTGGATCCGTTCCTATTCTGGTTTTAGAGCACGTTTTCTAGAGACTGAGAGAAAAACAGGTCTTTAAATATGGATATTTTCTCCAGCAGAATTCTATTTCAGGCATGCAGATTTAGAGACTATTTGTAACATTATGCTAGAAAGTAATAAGCGCTTCGTTAAGCTTTAAAATGTCACAGTAAATATATAAAGTCCTCGGTATACTCTGATGTGGTCCATAGTTTCTTTTTTTGACAAAGTTTGGCCAAGGTCAAACTTATATTTAGCTTTTTAACAGCGGAACCGATAGTGACTTAAAATGTCATAAAATACACAAAATAGAAATGAATACTCACAAATGCCTCTTTTAATTCATTCAATTCTTCTTGATTCAATAGTTCAACAGTATTGCGTTGGTTAGTAATGGAAAAATCTACATTTCTATTATCTGACATCGAACGATACTGAATCATTAATTCAAACTAAATTTAAATTATTATTCTCGAAAAAAATTTATCTTATTTATTCGCTTCCCGCGGCTTTAAGCCTCATCTCCATTTTATTTTCAAAAATTTGAACTAAAAGACGAAAGTATTTGCATCTGAAACAGTAATTAAGAGCTCTTAGCAGGATTGAGAGGGATGAACTATGTTTCTCAATTATATTTCTGACTATTTAAATGGACAATCCCATAAAAATATCGAATATTCGTAATTTTTCAATTAATACGACATGTGAATCCTTCAAACAAAATATCTCGTTTGTTCCAGCTTTACTTTGAGATAGATGGATATTTTCAACAAACTCAATATAAGTTTTTTTATTTTTGTTATTAAGATCGTTTGCTGATTAGCTGTATAACAGCTTACGTAATTTATCAGGTGAACTATAAATAACTGATCATTTTTGAAAGCTAAACCTCGCTAGCTTGTTTGGCTTTATATCACTTCGCATATGCGTATTGCGGTCTATGTAGTCATGTGTTTTTTAAGTGTCTATCCTAAAATTTGTTTGTGTCTATCAGGAATCGCTTATTGTACTGAACATCTTTTGATGTTTAATCACTTCATTGAAATGTCTGGTCGGTAGTCTGTCTGTCTTTCCGTTCAGAAATGCCGCTGCATTTAGATCATTGAGTAGAAACCTAAATAAGACCGTCTGTCTTTTCCTATTACCAACTATGTCTTTAAAACGTATGGTTTCAATATCTGGATTCGTTTGATAACAAAGCATAGCAGTCGACTCGTTTTTCCACCTTTCTTTCCATTGGTTCTTAACAAACTTATATATTTTACTGTTAATTTCGGCGTTTCTATATTTTGGATTTTCAGAGTTCCACAGATAATCGATGTTAATTGGGATTGTTGTGTGAACGCTGTCTGTTTTGCAATAAAATATGCTCTGTTGTTACCAACTGATGTTAGTTGTTCGTCTTATGTTTTGTACCAAAGGGTTTGTTTGTCTATTGGATGCAATGGCTTTTAGTGTAGACTGATTGTCGGTGAAAAACATGATTTATTTCGATGAGTATACTCATCGAAACAAATCCAACAAACACAGCCAACAAATTAACACGTTCATTGTCCAACAATAATTAAATAACAATTAAATGAATCATATATATTTTACCAAGTTTTGTGCTATCTGTTTAGTTATCTGTTTCGTGGCTCGACACTTGAATATTTATTAAGTTACATTCAAAATCGACCTCAAAACACCTTTTATAACAGGCATATGAATATGAAGACATATTTGTTGTTGCCATCCTTAGAATCTTTGAGAGAAATAGATTTGAGCAGAATAGAAACACGTAAAGTGCTAGCGTTGAAACAGAGACCAAGAAGTGAATTTCAGACGGCAGAAGGATTGCGACTATGTTGCATAAATTCCCTTTAGTAAAAGTTAGTTTAAACCTTTTATTATTCATCAACAAAAGTCCATGAAAGTTGCCAGCCGATGCTATCACCCATTATAGGCTTCTTTTCCTCATACAAGATGTTACATACGAAAACCGAAGATGTATAACCACGTTGAAATAGGAGAAGAACAACACACCCATAACTGAATAAACACTATTCAACAGCTGATAACAGATACTACAGCAACATTTAGTATGTCAACCGTGAAGAAATTCAAAAAGAAATAAGAAAGAAGTAATATGAGAGAGGGGTTGGTCGCTCAGAGTAAAGAGAATAACTGAATAAAGATGATAAACTAGTCTACGAGAACCTTCTGTATTTTCGATCAATTCACAGATCGCTTTCAACTTAATTTGCATTGTGTCAAAGTCAAGAAAGGAGTCTTACAACAGAAATGTATTTGTTGCTAGTTGGACATTTTTAGAGGTGTACATTTGGTATACAGACTATTTCTCTGCGTCGAGTAGTCTTGACAATCTAGCAAATAGTGATTAACAGAGGGGTGTAAATGCGATACCGGTACCAGTCACCGGTATACAAACTTCGTACCGGTACCGGCGCCGTTAGTGGCCGGTCGGTACCGGCTTTTCTTGATCGTTTTTTGCCTAAATACAAACACTTTTTCCTTGTTTATAGAAATATGTCATAGGTAAACTGAATTTACACGATATTTTTCGCCAAATCGTATCATATCGCAAAATACCAGTAATGTCGACCGATTGATTACACTTCATACTAATACCGGTATACCGGTCACCGTTATAATTCATGCCGGTCGCCATTATAATTCATACCGATACCGGTATATCGGTACCGGTTGCACCTCTGGTTAACAGTCTCGCTCGGGTGTTCACAACTGCACGCAGGTGATAAGATACAATTTCGTTTAAATAAGTAATAGTTTAATTGAGAAAAACCTATCTTTAGGTGCATAAAAAATTTTCCATTGATCTACAGAGAAATTGCAGACGTTTTGACAGCATTGCAGGTCTTTTTGAAAGAAGTTCTTGCTTCAACTGTTCTCTCAGAATAGCTGGTTTACAAAGCGAGAGACGAGCACTCTTAAGCCCTATTCGTTCCATTCTTTAGACACGATGGTAAAAAAGGATTTGTTCGGTTTCTTTTGAATGTGATTTAATAAATATTCAGGCGTCAAGCCACGAAACAGATAACTAAACACATAGCACGAAATTTGGTAAAAGTTAAGAGAATTTTATTTGTTAGCAACAGAGAAGAAAAAACTTAACATGTGATGTCAAAATAGTTCCAAAAAAGTTCTTATTCTATAAATAACTACAACAATCAAGTGGAACTCAAACTTTCTAATGCCCTCTTTCTCTTGTAGCATCTGTTATCAGCTGTTGAATAGTGTTTATTCAGTTATGGGTGTGTTGTTCTTCTCCTATTTCAACGTGGTTATACATCTTCGGTTTTCGTATGTAACATCTTGTATGAGGAAAAGAAGCCTATAATGGGTGATAGCATCGGCTGGCAACTTTCATGGACTTTTGTTGATGAATAATAAAAGGTTTAAACTAACTTTTACTAAAGGGAATTTATGCAACATAGTCGCAATCCTTCTGCCGTCTGAAATTCACTTCTTGGTCTCTGTTTCAACGCTAGCACTTTACGTGTTTCTATTCTGCTCAAATCTATTTCTCTCAAAGATTCTAAGGATGGCAACAACAAATATGCCTTCATTGGCAAATATCTAACCAATTCAGAGAGGGGCAAGTCTAAGTCACGACTGATGGCTTTTTTTGACTGAGACTGATGGCTTCGTGACTGAGACTCGACTGAGACTGACGATTTTCTATACCGTAACTGATTGTTTGAAAATGATTTTTTTTAATACAAAGTGAGAGAAAAACAGAAAAAGTAAGCAGAAAGACAAATGAAGATAAAATGAAAAGAAAAGTCTAGATGTTATCAAAAAGAAGATATAGTGGCAAAAAGTGAATAACTATACATAGTGAATAAAGAAATACGTATATGATGTATAGTAAAAATAGATAAAAATCATCGTATTATCCACTGGTGAATACCTTACCGATAAAAATGCTTTGTGTACCAGCTACAAGTGGATTAAGATATTAGAAATATTTCTGTGCCTTCTTTTTTTTGTTAAATACTAGACTACTACGATCAGAATAAAAAAGAAAGAAAAATGGGCAAGTCCAAGTCATGACTGAGACTGAGTCACGACTGATGGCTTTTTTTTGAGACTGCAGAAGTCATGACTTGCCCATCTCTGAACCAATTCTTATCGAGAGGAATCCAATACATATATTGGTGTCGAGTTTAGAGTGAAACTTTCAAGAGAAAAATCAACTTTTTATATCAATCGGTTCATCAGCAAAATGGAAAATTCATAAGTTGTGAGCCGCCACAAACCATTACATCAAGAGGTTTTTGAACTTTTCTTTTTACCATTCAACTGAATGTGATGAGTAGTATAAATCATGTAATTTTTACAAGCAAAGAGTTAATTTAATGTTTGTTTAAAGCTTGTCGATACCGATACAGTACGATACCTTATCGGTATCGGAGCATGCCTGTTTGCTATATTAATTCGATTTTCATTTCTGTCTGATGTTACCAATTCTGTTTGAGATCGTTTTTGTTCTTCTCATATGGCAGTACAGAGAAAAATTTGCATAATGCAGATGTTCAACTTCAAAAAAGATGAACATCGAACAAGAACAGTCTTAAAAGAAGGCTGAGCAGAATCAAAGCACTATTAAAATTACGAAAAAATAAAAATTATTTACCAGAAAAGTTTCATGATGATCTTCTTCGTGCTAATCATTGGATACCAGAAGCTGTTCCTATTGATATCGATAACGTGAAAACAACCAATGGACAACTTGTATGTTCAGTAAAAATGAAACATTGACAGCACTGGAAATTCGTTCATATTTTTCACGGTTATGTTCTTTGCAAATCAAACAACCAACACAATCTTCGGCCGGTGATGAAAATGAGGAAGAAAACAATGAAGGAGTTTATAAAGACGATATGGCAACTGAAGAAATTCTCAGCAAAAAGAGTTACAAAATTATTTAAATGATCAAGCGGCGTATACAAAACAAAAACACCCTGTGCGCGATGATTTACAGCAAAACAAAACAAAACGATAGCCCTCCATATTACGAAAACCATCGAACGATATTCACATAAGACGCGAACATTCCAATTAACTTTTATTTTCCTCTTATCGTTTTTCTAGTAGCTCTTTTTGAATTAATATCAGTACAACCCAGATTAGGTACGCACCGGTTTCGGTTAACCGGCAACGAAGAAACCGATATTCAATCTAAACGGACACCAAAAAAATCCCAAACATTTTTGTTTAAGGTTTAAATGATATAAAGAGTTAGCGCATAATATCTATTTACTAATGTCAAGGATTTTCCTTAAGAACGGAAACAGTTTGAAACGTAGCAAGGAATAGTGATGGAAGGCTGACATTTTCTGTGATTATAATTGACATCTGGCACTATCATAGAAAAAATTCTCAGCCTTTCATACCGTGTTTTGACTAAGTTATAGAATTTTTAATAATTTATGTTATGCGCTGTATGGGCAAAATAAAAAACTTCATAACTTTTCATAGAAGCAATAAGAACCCAAATCCTTTTAGACTTTTTACTAGGACACTAGGAAATAATTACTGGCAAAAGATCGCTGAATACGGCAATGGACATCTCGAGAGGTACCCTCATAAGTCTGAATTAACTGGTAATGGCGATCTAGATTAATATACATTGATGTGAGAGAGGATAAGACATCTACGAATGCTATTAACTTTCTCTTGCAACCATCTTCAAAGGTGTTGTGAAAACTTTGCTTTTGCTGCAAAGCAAGTTGACGCGAAAACTTCTCTACTCCTTCGAAGTGACCAGGACGTCATATCAGCAGCCCGGTATATAATAATATTCACATATTTATAGACACCTATGTGCACCGCTTCTTCATTTCAGCGATACGGAACGGTAGGAGTACAGGATGGAAGGAATACAGGATGGAGCAATTCAGGAGTACAGGATGGAAGGAATTCAGCATGGTAGCACTCTCGTTTTCTCATAAAAAACACGTAAATGTGATGGTTCGTTTTCTGTAATGTGGTAGGGGATTCAAAGCGCATCAGTACACAGGCGGAATTGTATCTTCAGGAACGTTGACGACTAAAAGTTCTTTTCTGACGGAAAAGTATAGAGATATACGGTTTGATAGCTTTTTTTATACGGCATATTTTAAGTACCATAAAATAGTTCAGATGGGGAATGAAACTGGCTCTTTGATAATACAACA